ATTGATAAATAATGTAAATTATTAATAGTTGATGCCCTTTGTGCTCAGATAGTAATTAGTGCATCATTAGACTACAGACTGAGTCTGATTACTAGTGTTTACTAAGTACACATTCCTGAAACATATACAGTGCTATTAAAAAACACTGTTAAGACAAAATAAAAGGAGGTGCCATATACTGCTGGATATCTTCTGACTCATACTCTATACATCCTGCTAGCCAAGCCTTTTTGCTGTACCGTTGACGGGAAAATCCTCAGGTGTACACTTTCCCTTTTTGCTGGCTGATTTTAATATAATTATTATTATTATTATTTTTCAAACATGTAGGATTTGGATGGTGGTTAAACTCTACAACAGGATGAAGCAAATGACCTTGAGGTGTAAAGCATGGTGGTGAAAATGGGGAGCATCAGACAAGCCAGGATCTTTGATTCCAGAGCTCTGAATTTAACTAATGTGAATAAAAGTGTGCAAAAAAGAACCACATGTTCTCCACAAGGACAAAAGACCGCTGGACAACAAAGAGGTCACATACGTGCAGCAGAATTACTTAGCATTAGAGCAGAGCAAAGCAGAGAAGAGTAGTCATTCAACCTGACCGTCTCCTTCTCTCCCTCACTGACCTCTCCCTTGGCTTTTTCTACCATGGACTCGGCCCTCCCCCACAAAGTGACACTCCCATAATGACTTTAAAATATATATTTACAGTTTAATGTTGTTTATACACATTGTAAATTACCCCTGACTGATACATATTAAAGAAAATGCATAATTAACTGAAGAAATACATAACAATAACCAAACTAAGCAAAAAAGTCCCCGCTACCCCCACCTCTCTCTCTGCCTTGACTAACCTAACAAGGTAATAAGCATCTGCTGGGCTCCGGTGGCTGTGTCCTCATGTATGCTCCATGAAAACACCCTCCGTAAGTAAACCTCAAAGAGAGAGTGGTTAGTAGGGGTTACAAAATAAAAGCACAATATAAAGTTAGTGTTGTCAGACTTTACAGTCAATGTATATGTGAGTGTTTTTCACCTCAGAGAGGGGAATGCCTTCCAGATCCCTCACAAACCAATTCAAGTTAATGATGGGAGGCTAACAGACCCACCTTTTTGTTTAAGCTTATAAGTACAGCCTCGAAAACTGAAATGGCGCATATCTCCCCCAAAGCCTAACAGTCCCAAATTCAATCAAGCCCCATCAAATTGGACAGATTCAAAGATATCAGTCCCCTAAACATGCCTTTTCCCAATATTCATGCATTATATCCTGGGAAATCAGTAAAGATGCTAAGAATGTGTTTAAGAAAGTCAGGAAAATTCCTGGATCCACCCCAAATGTTACAGATTTTTTGTATTAATGTCCCATCCTTCCATTATTTGGAAAATCCATTCAGTGTTTGTGTATCCTGCTGACAATCAAAGCAACCAACCAACAAAAAAATTAACAAATAGTAAACAGGGAATAATAACTCATTAACACAGTTTCAACACAAATTAAAAATGTAAACCTTCACGAAACGTAAACCTTATTGCTAATAGAGAATACATCAATTCCTAAAAGTTTAAACATGACAGTTCAAAAGAACCTGCTGTTGCTAATATACATTCTTTTCAAATTAAAACCACAACAAGGGGGGAAAAGCTGCCTCTATGTTTGAGTAGTCACCATCACCACAGTGACTGGGCAGGTCCGCTTC